AAAAAAAAAAAAAAAAAATCAGCTGGGCGTGGTAGCGTGCGCCTGTAATTCCGGCTACTTGGAAGGCTGAGGTGGAAGGATCGCCGGAGCCCAACAGGTCGAGGCTGCGGTGGCCGGAAGCGGCCACTGCACTCCAGTCTGGGCGACAGAGTGAGACTCTAAATCAAAAAAAAAATAAAATAAAATCATTTTACAGTCATTAAAATAATACCTAACAAAAATGCTAATTAAATACACAAAAACTATCTGGTCAATTAAGAACATTATTTTTCAAATAGAGATACTCTAGATTACTTTATTGTAGGGCATATTTTACATTTACAAAAAGAACCTGGCTTGGATATCTTTTAGAGTTTAACTTGTATTTTATACCATAAAAGTAACTATAAAATTATCCCCTATTAGTAGGTCCATGCTAAAAAAATTCAGAACAATAAATCTAAAACTTAAGAAAACATTCCAATAAATTTAAAAGAGATGGCAAAGTCACATATATCAAAACTGCATAATCAAAAATGCACGGAAAATAAAATGCCTCTTCCATACCAACCTAGCCTATAAAAACACAATGAAAAAAAAGGTCAGTGATACAGCCATCACCAAGTCAGCATATGCTATCGGGTACCAAAAGCACAGGAAGAAACCCAGGTCTCACAATGGGCACACTCCTGTGGGTTCATCTTGACATGCTACCCTTCTGAGCACCCTGAACAGCAGTGTGGACAGCAGACTGGGTTGAACCCAGTCTTGTGGGAGGGAAGGAGCCCAGCCAGCGTCCCTGCACACAAGGGGAAGCATGAAATGGCAGTGGAAGAGGAGCCAGGGTTTCAGAGCAACTTCCCCCGGACGCCCACAGGCATTTCCCGCATGCTGAGGAAAACAGCGAAGCCCTGCAAGGATGTGGCAATGTTGCCCCCAGGAGTTCCACAGCTCCTCCAGCAGGACATGCAGTTGACAAATTCAAGAAAAAAATATTTGAAGACCACAAAGACTGCCAAGATTAAAGATACCAGATACGGAGCCATGACAAAAACCCAAACAGCCCTTAATGACAGTGTGCACTCATTTTCAACGAATAATGGCCGATGACATGACACCATGTGCAGGTGCCCAGACAGGACCTCACTGACCAATATGAAGGTAGACACTTAGCTGCAACTCTGCTATTAGCTTTGGGAAACTCAAGCTCTTCATGCCTAGTTCTTTTCACTGTAAAGGACACATACTCAAAATGACAGTGAAACTGTCAAAGTAATTAAGAATACCAAACAAAGGTAAAACATGACTTCATGTATAAATATCCACCAAGGTACCTTTCAAATGTGATAAATCTGAAAAAAGAGTGCAATCTGTAAATGCGTATAAAAGGTCAGATGGTATGCATTCCTACAGAACTAAGCTATTAATATCACAGAGAGCAGACAAACCCATACAATTTCAAAGAACTGACATGGGACACTCGACACTCTACATGTGGAAAACCTGGGCTAAGGAGGGGATAAAGCTTAGATGAGCAGAAAAAGAAACATAGCACACAAAACAGAATTCAATCCAGAGCATGAGTCCCCAAGCACACTACGTCCCCATAAAATACCCTCCCTTCCAAACAAGCCTGGTGACCCCTTCGTGAAATATGCTTCTTCACTCATTCAGACAAACTCATCCGACCAGCATCCAACCACCATGCTCCTTCTGGCTCCACTCGGCAGTCTGGAAAACTCCTCTCTACCTAATCATTCTCTGAACGTTTCATGGCTGTCAGGGCTGCCTGCTCGATCAGATCTCACGTTTCTCGAGCACTAAGATGGATTTCTCCTCACTCTCCATCACTGTGCTCCACAGGGTCAAAGCATACTGTGGATAATAATCACTGATAAAACTAAAACTACACAGTTCGGGTAAAAAGAGAATAGAAGACAAAAGGGAAAAGATAGAATGCTCTTGTTCTGACAGTCAAAATTTTCCACAAGCTCTTAATAAAAGGTTCCTTTCTTCTAAAATTAACAATAAATGTCACATGATTAAGGAATATTTAATGCATGTAAATTAGAAAAATAAACAGAAGCAACAAGATTGCACATTCTTAATATAATTGCTCCATAATTTAATATTAACTGCTTCCTAGGATTGGAGATGTACAAAAATACATAATTCTTCACCTAGCACAGAACCAATTTGGCAAGCCAGTACACAGGTGTGAGGCCCAATTTTGCATAAAGAAAATAAACAAAAGATTTCCTACAAAAAAATTAATTACAGACAAAATGGGGGAATAATAAGAATACCAAATGAAGTTTCTTACACTATATTTAAACGTGATATACGAAAAAGTTACAATATTAGATATTTAAGCTAATTTTGAGAAAATATTTCAGTCTTAAAAGCTGTTATATTAATAAAATGTCTAAAAGGATTTTTTTTTACAGTAAATTCTGTGTCACATAGTAAGTATATGTATTTATTATATAAATGCTCTGTGAAACATGAAAATCCAAAAATATTCTGTCAACAAATAAAGACTACCAAATGTTCCATAAGTTGCTGCCAATGGTAATCAACCACTCCTAAAATAAAGAAAAAGTACATCAGCGTCAACTCAGAACTACAGGTGGAGGAAAACCACAATTAATGGATTTAGTTGCAGCGAGATGACAAAAGCACAAAAGGCAGACATGAGCAAATCGAACCTCTCCCCTGCTGTCATTAGAAACAAACCTGCCTGCTTTCTCTATCTTTCCCCATCAATATAATTCCACCTAGCAAACAAGTTATTTAATTCCCACGACATAAAACTCCCACGTCAGGTCATACAGGAACAAAATGACACAACACAGCTCCTTCCTGAGAGGGCAGAAGCCACAGGAGGGTCAGATAAGGGAGCAAAGGATGGCAAGGCAAGGCAGAACTGGGGGCGGGAGGGGCAGGCAAAATGAGGGACGTCCAAGGACTGGCACTCACAGCCAAAGAAAGAGGCGGCACACGGAAAATACGAGAAGAGGTAGTGTTTCACATTTAAGGAACTGGGGGACATGGCTACAAGCATGAAACAAAGCAGAGGTAAAAGCACTATTCTGGGAAAGCGCTTCATAGGTTAAAGCAATAAAGGGTAGAAAAACATCACAGAGAGAGTCTGTATGTAACCCAGGAGACAATGAAATGCAACTACCAAGATTTTTTTAAAAATTCAATAAATTTATTTATAGTAGGACCATATATTCTTTACGAAAAGTAAAGTATCTTAAGACGTATCACTGTGTCAGGTGCTTCATCAAAAATAAGCATAAATACTCCATATTTTCTTAATGCAATAAACCAAGCAGCGGTCAATGTTTTAGGAGCTGCTTTTTCCAGCAGTCACCACATCATAAGGTTGCGCATGAGACTACCTAGCATATTTTTCTATTTTGATCATCTCTGAGATACAGTTACATGAAAACACACATAAAATGCACTTCACAAATGATGTAACTTTATGAAAAATTAAGAAAAACAATCACAACAGAAACTTATGTCAACATTTTTTTATTTAGCCAAGACAAATTTCCTCTCAGCATAATAACAAAAGGTTTTATGAGAACTGGGAATTCAAGACTATAAAACAATTTGAGCCCTCAAATATACACTTCCAGGATGCTTCTAACGAACCAGACTATCACTTTACAAAGCAATTTCCCACTCGGTTCATCTCTCAAGCTAAGGAGGGAAAACAGAGACTGCTAATTTTGCATTTAACCACTACTTTTAAATTGTCCAAAATAACACACTAATTAAAAATACCAACTCAAGTTTAGAACTCTAAAATTTCACTCACTTTTACAAGTGTAAAAAGCTCATTATGACACCTTAACAATTTGCCTAAGATTATGAAACTTATATTCTCAATTCTGAAAAATAGCTTAACCTGATTTCTAAAACCACAAAACAGCTTGGAAATTCATGCTTCAGTACTGAGTTTTTTTTCAAACAAAAAGATGAATGCAAATTCTTCATTTACAGGTCAGGCTCAGAATGCTGCAGAAAACGCATAGAATCAAGAGGAAATGCAACCCATAGTCCCTACTATCCTCACTTGTTAGGCACATCACAGACCTGATTCCATGCCCGAGGGCAGAACACCCAGTGTGTATGGGGGGAATTCTGATCTCCTAAAGTGTGAGTCTGGGTTTGCCACACAAATCTTATCCAAGACTTTTTGGTTACTGTCAGCATTCCTTCATCAGTCTACATTAAACAAATAAACAAACAAAAAACTGTTCTTAAAAAATTCTAACACCAGAAGCCATAATCTTACCAAAGTTAGCATCACATTAGAGAGCAAGCTGAAAGCAAAAAATGTTTAGCCACAAAAATCTATACAGAGATAAAGGAAGAACAAAACATGACATTTTCAATATTCAATCGGTAGTATAAAAGCAAAGAATCACGGAACAGAAACAGGTTTGACCTGTCTCCAAATGAAACAGGATTCAAACCTATCTGAAGATCACAGATACCCCACAACCACACAACATGTAAGTTTATAAAGAATTGCCAGAAGTCTGACTATGTGGGGGAATGGCATATTTTCTTTGAATCCCGCTAGAGCAACAATCATAATCCATCAAGAGCCAGTTAATCAGTTTCCCTGTGCGTGTTTTCAATAAAACATGTCTTTTCAAGCCTTCTCTCTTTTTATAGGGCTTTCAGTGCCATCTAGTGGAATAATATTGCGGTTACAATTTAAAAGGAGGTTTTAGCAAAATGATTTAAAGGAAAGTTTTATAAAATGTACGGTGAGTGGATTGCCTGAGCCTGCGGGTTCGAGACCCGCCTGGACAGGCGAGACTTCATCTCTACAATAAATCAAAAAAATTAGCCGGGCGTGGTAGCATGCACCTGAAGTTCCAGCTACTTGGAAGGCTGAAGTGGAAGGATCACCGGAGCCCAAAAATGTATGGTGTTATTTTATCTAGCTTTAATCACAATTAAGTGATAAAAATGAAGTACAAGTAATAAAAATGACTGTATTTAATACTTTCTACACAATAAAGTATTTCAAAGATTTGTATATTTGTTTTTAAAGAAATAGATCATGAATTAAAACTGATTTAATTCACAGAAATGTACTGAGTTAGTAACATGAAATAAAATCACAAAATTAGAAAGAAAAAAATTTATCTAATTTCCAAACATCCCATCACACCCTCTCTCTATAAAAAACACCTCTATCCTGAAAAAGACATCACAGCACCGTCATCACAGAGTCCCCCACAGACCCCTCCACCACCCACAGCCAGAGGGACCCTCAACCCTGAATTGTCTTTTAAAACATCCCTCAAACTTAGCCCTTCTCCCCTCCCTGATCTCAGAATTCTGTATCAGTTTCCTGGTTTCCAGCTCCATGAGACACCTCACCCTTTGAGCTATGACCTTTCCAAAAGAGGGTGATGTCCACTCTAAGGGTCTGCCCTCATTCCCACCTACCCACCTTCTCCTGGTCCTAAACCTGCCCTCGCTACCACTTAACCCATGAAAGTTAATAAAGTCCTCTGGTCATAAACCTCAATACTACTCCTGTCTAATACAGACACCAATCTTCTGAAGACATTCATCATCTAAAAGACTGTTTGGGACATTTTTTTGAATGTATATTTCTCATATCATATTTCTCCTACAAATGTTGCAATATAGGAAGTAGAAAACAATTAAAAAGTGCTCTAAAATATCAAGTCCAATCACACCTTTTCACTGATGAGGAAACTGAGGCACTATGCACTAAAATGCACTGAATGTTTTAAGTCAACACTTGAACTCAGGCCTCCAGGCTGTTATTCCAGACACTTCCCACATCTCTTGGTAGAGCTCTGGAAATCAAGCTCTGAAGCTCGCGTGTGGTTTTAGGATCCTTTCCACAGGCACTAAGACATCAAGTCAAATCCATCTAACTGATTTCACAGAAGTACTTGAAACTCCAGAAGACATCCTGCCAAAACACAGACCGTCATACAGTACAAACACCATGGAGCAGGCAGACATGCAAGAAATATTTGTTGAGTGGATTAAGTATAAAAACAAAAATGCTCTCTGATACTAAGCCAATATATTCTCAAATTTTGACCCCAACAGATATTTCTTTTGTTACCTCACCCTATATTTTTCTGTCACAGAAAAAAAAATTAAAGGCATAGGTAAGGCAATCATGTAGCAGCAAACTTAGCTGCACCCTATTGGTATTTATGAGTCCATTAAATCAAGGCCTAAAAAACCCAAACCTTATCTTCAAAGAATACTATCAGGAGCCAGTATTTCAGTAAAAATTTATACAACAATATTAGTGTCAGTACATATTTTCAGGTTTATAATATGTAAACACTGAAATTATGGAAACACTACAGAAAGTGTTTGTTGAAAGTGAGCATGTAGGTTCTTAATACTTATATTTTTACTTTTTAATTGGGGTTTAGCAAATAACCTCAAATGCAGTCCTAGTAATTAATAATCTTATGATTATTTTGATTATCACATATTATAATAAATACTAATCTTAATTCTTCATAATTCTTGTAACAAATTAAATAAGTTCAAATGGATAACAAATTTAGTCAATAAATACTAATTTCTTATATCCTTACCTCTGCATTAAAAGGTCATTAATTTGAAATGTAACAGAATCCACTTTCCCAGAATGGAATTTTAAGTAATTCTACTTTATGCTACGAAAATTGCCAGTAAAACTTTCAAATAGTTCCTAGCATAGTCCTGTTTCCTTTTTCTCCATCTTATGAGACTCCCATCATGACTAGTAGTTCCCACATATGGCTCCACAGTGGAATCACCTGGGGAGCTTAAGCTGTGACTTGGCAGGGGTACTCTCAAGTCTAAATGTGCAGCAAAGTCTGGGTACCAGGGTCTTGACACTGAATGTCTGAGCTGAGATTTCTGAAATCGGTCTCCAAGTTTCCTTTCCCCTAGAAAGCTCTAAAAAGAATCTTCATTTTTTTTCTACTTTTCTATTCTATTTTGTCCACCAAAATTCCAAATTTGCAATATACAGGTTGCCATCTGACTCACATCTCCTCTTAAAATGGGACATAGTAATGTGAAAATTGTACCCAATGATTTCAAAGGTTTCTTCCCACTTCGAATTTATATAGTTCTCAAAACAAACAAATAGCCCTGGCGTGTCAAGCACACACAATGCCCTTCAGATTCTTTAACAGCCCTCCTTTTTCTAGTGATTTAAACCATATGAAATGTGCCAATATTTAACCATTTTAAATCCAAACAAACAGCCACTTCATGACGCACCCATATATTTTCTTCCTATGGATCCTTTCTATTAGAACCTTCTCGTGTAACACAACCCAAGCTAACCTATTTCTTTCTTGAAAACTTCACTGGAATCTCAATTCTCTGTCCCAACTTAGAAAGACATTATGATAAGAAAGGGCCCCATTCCTGAAGACCAGGAATGCCTATCCTAATGAGTGACATGGAGCTATTCATGAAGTTAATGTTTGAAAGTTTTTCCATATTGTGTCCACTTGTATACCTAACCCTGAATTGTACCCCACATATTTAAAATAAAATAAAAAGAAATAAAAAAAGTTTTTCCATGCAATCATTTACAGTGACTACTTATATAGTATAAATTATTTCCAAATCCAAAAAGTATCTACCTAAGCCAAATGAATGTTTTCAGGCTAAGAATTTCATATAATAAACCCTACATTTATTAATTTTGCATTTTCTGCTTTCCTATAATGAATCACGCTGTACCCCAACAAATAACAAAAACAAACCCTACACCTCCAGCACTACAGAAATTTCCCTAGCTTATTAGAACCACCATCTACGTGTGGGAAAGAAGAGAGTCTGTGAATCAATGACTATCCAGAGGCAAGCCTATTTCTTAAGGAAATGAAAAGTCACGCTCACACATGTAGATCAATACCTTTCCAGGGACCCGGAGACTCTCTATGGCACCAAGATCACTGAGGCTTCCCGGAGGGCTTTTCGGACCCTTAAAAAAGAGAAAGATACAGAGAATTTGAATCATGCAGAAGAAATGGAAAACTCTACTACTGAAACAGAGATCTACCAAAGCAGAAATGACCACTTTAAAAATAAAAATCTTCCTGCTTTATGGCTGCATAAAATTCTGTCATGTATATATACCACATTTTCTTTATCCAGTTCATTTCAGGGGCATTCGGGATAAAATACAGTTAAATAAATAACAGTAATTCTATTTCAAAACATAAAAAATATGTATTTTAAAAACACTGCCACTTAATAGATCTAGTACTGTTATTAAATAAAGTAAGGACGTACTTTTGGTCTTTTAGAATAAAAGAGTATTATAGGGCACGTTCACAACCAATGGTGGAAGTCTAACCTATCCACGATGCAAAAACAACCAAAAAAAAGAAAAGAAACTTAAGCAGAAAAAAAAGCATTCTATAGAAGAAAAGTACCACTGTAACAAACATTACTAAATCCACCTGGTAAAAAGGTCCAAGCAACAGTACGATGATTCACAGATGCAATGTACTAACCACTGAGTTCACCAGACACCTTCATACAGCACTGACTGCTTTGCTGACACAGGAACCCCTTCTTCACCTGAGTATTCCTCACCCATGTATCCAGTTCTGCTGTATAAACAAGATTCAAACTCCAGGTCTCACTGCCTTCAACCTGCTCTTTAGCTCTTGGCTACCCTGCACTTCCTAGATTCACATCAACTGAGGGATTCTGAAAGCACTGTTTGTACCAGGGGAAACTGTCAAGACAGATAGAAGTTAGCTATTGAAACTTTCTTTAAAAGCTTCCTTTTAAAAATAGGCTATTCAAGCAGACACCCAATAGCCCTGTAATATGAGCCATTCGGGTTAGGTATTATTATTAGATATACTAGCCTTTAGAATAGCTATTATTATTCATCTGAGGAGAGATTTATGATACAAACTGCCCTTAAGGGGTCCTATACTGGGGTACTTCCTAACCAAAATATATGGTATTCTTATGTTGATGACTTGAGACTTGCAGCAGAATTTGCTAATCTTTTATTTACAGAGGTGTGTGCTTCATCTTCCCTACTGTAAAATACCACCTGTTAGATCTACAATTTTTATGACAAAGTGCTCTACCCCAACTCCAAGTCTTCTATTACTTCCAGAATATCTAATCCACCTACCCTTCTCAATTAGGACCAGGGATCTGCAATGTAACAAGCACCCCAGGAGACTCTGATTTTGATCACCAATGTTTTACAAACATATCTAGACATTTTCCAAGATAATACCTCAGCCAAAGCAGTCAACTTTAAGGTTTTAAATACATCTCTCTTTCCCTCCCAAAACTTAGTTCCAAAGGAAGGAAGACAAAGTCTTAATTGGCTAGCAAAGTTCCAGGAACACAGTAGACACCAAAGAAATAAGAAAATTATTAGGTGGAAGTCACTGGTCAGGCTTCAGGCACCAGTAGGAGCACGCAACTGACTGCAAAGTAAGAAGCCCAGAAATGCTGGAAGAGAAGGGTCTCCTGAGGGTTAACGTGCCCTACATGAATGAGAGGAGTGTATATAACTCGGCGTAGAGTTAACAGGTCTTATGTCTCTTCTCAAGAGTGTAAATAGCTAGTCCAGGGCATGGGGTTAACAGACTTCACATGAGTGAGGGGTGTGTATATAACTAGTGCTGGACATGGGGTTAACAGGCCTTACATGAGTGAGAGGTGTGTATTTAACTGGTCTTGGGCGTGGGTTTAATAGGCCTTACATTAGTGGGAGGAGTGTATATAACTAGCTTTGCACATAGGGTTAACAGGCATAATGTGTGTGAGGGGAAGAGCATGTGACTAGCCTCGGGCTATTTGTTCTTCCTGGTCTCAGTTTCTCATCAACAGTTACCAGAGCATTGCATCAAAAGTGGTGAAGCTGGCAGGGCCGGTACATAGCTTAACTTCCATATACATGACACATACACACATGAAAACTTCATGATGGGATTCAAAATCATGACCATCCCTAAAATATTTTTTTTAAGTCTAACTGCCCTAACTTTTAAACAAACATTTTAAAAGTACAGACACTCCTCAACTTAAGCTGAGCCCATTATAATGTGCCATCATAAATCAAAAACACTCTCTTAAATTGAAAATACATTAAATAACCCAATTAACCCATCCTTAAGTCAAAACTCATAAGCCCAGCCATAGTAAATCGGGGACATCTGTATAGATTTGCCTCACTCTGAAAGGGCCATAACAGAGTATACCATAGACTTGGGTTAAAAGGGTGTACTCCGCTGCGTCAGTGGTCAACAAAGGTCCAGGCTCGAGCTTGCAAATAAAAACCCTCTTAAACTTTCATCGGAATTGGCTCTTGGTAGTTTCTCGGATTAAACATTCGGCCACTACAACTCATCTAACAAAAATCTTTGGAGGTCTAGACTGTGTCTAATTTTCCCTTCCTCAGAGCTACTCCGCAAAGCAATCAATACCCTAACGTGAATGGGATCTATGTCCACACCTGGAACAAGGTCTTACCTCCACATCAGTCCTCACACAACAACTCGCTACTAATACACTGCAGCTTTCTGCCAAATGTACAAATAAAAGTTGTAGGAACTGGAACCAGTGGACCTGGGAGAATACTGGGTGCAGTGACTGCAGGAATGGACCCCAGCTGGCAGAAAAGGTGGAGCTCTGACTTTCTCGCTGCAGTCTTGAGCGCCTGCCCTTCCTGTGTGGCACATCCCAGTCATGGTGACGACTCACAGGCTAACACGGAGCAACAGTGTAACAAACGTGTCTGGCTCTTCACAAGCATTCTCTAGGTGTTATCCATTATTCTTAATATTATTATTATTATAGAGAAACGTTTTTATCAATAAGTAAGGAAGACTACACAAATGTCTCAAAGCACAACATGTGACACAACTGTATTTAGGAGTATAACTCTTTAAACCTTTGATTATCAATTTTCTTATTGTTTTTTTTATTCTTTTTTTATTGATTATCGATTTTATAAATTTTTACTAACAAATACAAAGTCATTTTTATTTTATCTTCTATCTAAAGCATGAACTGATGATTATAACTAGTTCTCTGTCTTCATTAAATTGAAACTTTCATTCTAATCATTAACTGTAATTTTCTTTTGTATTTGATTTTTGTTTCTATAATCTCCCCGGCTTAAATTTAAGCAAAATTCAGCATAAATAACACCTGCCTCTGTACTTCATTTCTTTGCCCAAATCAGATTAACGCCTCCAACTACTCAGTTATTTCTACATGAGTCCTTACTTTCCATTTATGAGACCAGCAACTTAGGTCCTGTCCATCCAAAGGAGCACCTGCAGAGATGTGTGTTTCCTTCTCTTTTTGACAAAACTCAAGAGTGTCTATGCCCAGTCCCCAGTTTCTCTCCCCGTTTTTTCCTGAGCCGCCCAGTCCCTAGTTTCTCTCCCCGTTTTTTCTTCCACACCACTTCATGAAAACCGCTGCTGTGGCGTCACTGAGGACCTCCATGTCATACAGCATAGAAGCTCCTTCTCATTCTCACCTTCCCTGGCCGAGCTGTGCATCTAAGACAGCAGATCACTCCTTCCTCTCTTAAATTCTTTCTGTGGCTTCTAGGTAGCTTCTTGATTGTTCTCTGTATCCAACATTCATTAAACAAATAAATAGGTTGCCCCTGGGTGCTGCAGATATCCCTCCTCACTTGCTGCTCCTCCTGGCTCTGCCTTTCTGGGTCCCTCCCCACCCATGAGTTTCTAACAATGACCTCTCAAAAACTCTGGCCCTGAATTCTGCATAACTATGCTCACTCCATTGGTGATCTTAGTTTATATGCAACCTACATGTTTTTAGTGCCCAAAGTTTCATCTATGCTCTACATTTCTCCCCATACACTCATTCAGACTGCCTTCTCTCTCCACTTAAACATCTAAGAGGCTTTCGAATTCACAAGTCTAAAAGCAGCCTCAGTCTGTTCCTCCCTCAGTTTATCCATCTCACCAATGGCAAGCCCATTCTTCCAAGTATCGGGCCAAACCATTTGAGGTCATCCTCAATGCTACCCGTTCCCTCATAGCCCAAATCCAGCCTGTCGGGAAATCCTGTCAGCTCTACATTGAAATGCACCTGCCATCTGACTTCTCAATGCTTCCCCCACAAGCTCCCAAGCTAGGGCCCACAGAAACCTCAGGATGGCCACAACAGCCCTTCCTGGCTGCCTGTCCTTGCTCTCATCCACTCTTCAATCTCCTCAACACAAGTCAGAAATGCCATTCTACAGTGCTATTGCAGACTATGTCAGTCCTCCAGCTGCCATTTCATCCAAAGTGACAACCCTACGGCCCCCGAGGTTCTGTGTGACCTCACCTTCCAGCACTTTCCTTCTCTCTCACTCGCTCCACCACACTGGCCCCTGCAGTCCTAACACATGCTCCTGCCTCTGGCCCCTGCACCTGCTCTTCCTTCCACTGGAAATGCTCCTTCCCAGATGTCCACATGGCTCCCTCCTCACCTTCTCCCGGTCTTCTTTATCACCTTCTCATAGCAGGAGCAGTCTCCCATGTCCACGCTCTCTAAAAGTATCAGGGACCCTGGTTGCCAACAGCTCCCAGGACTCATGATCCTCTTTTTCCTCTAACGCAAGTGTCACCAACTCTGCCCAAGCACTTGTCTATTTTGTTCACTGCTGCATCCCCCCAACTTAGAATAATGTCTACAACACAGTCCTCAATAAACATTTGTTGAATGGACTGAAAGAACAGTGACCAGCACAATGGAGAAAGATGAGAAACAGATCCCATCTGAATAAAGAGAGCTAACAAACCCACTTCCCACTCTTTTGCAGAGATCCTACAACAGCTGAAATGCCCCAAATCTTAAATTTCATAGGCCTTAATTTCCTATCTCCCCACATTAACTCAACATATATTACTAACATATTCTATTGTCTCAAGAAAGAATCATCATTGTGTACTTATTTGTAATCCTCTTACATTTAACCCAATAACAACGTTCCAACTAAAACCCCCACTGTAACTCTAGGCAGCACCCTATTTTCATATCTCACAAATTCATGAAAGTCAAGCCATAACCATACATAATTGGGATAGCTTTAAAACTCCTAATTTTATCTCACTTTTTACACAATATAGTTCCAGCACTTTGTACATGTTCTTTGGTGCTTTTTTTTTTCTGTTCCAATTAAGCACAGATTTGACCTGTTCAAATTCAAGGAGCAATTGATTAAGGCTTAAGCATTACCATTTTTCAGCACTATTGCATTACATTTTGAGACATAAACTTATTGTCACAGGTATCTGGAACTATGTGTGAGAAACTGCCAAATGTTGCTCTCCACTTACTTAAATCTTTATACTAGTCACATAACATTTTAATTCTATTTTCATGGCATTAACAAGGTAACTCGAAAGAAGTAATCATGTAAGGATCGTTTCTGTATTGTCCAACAGAAATATACAATTTGTAACCTATTCAATTACCTCTCAAAAAAAGAATCTGGAATTTGAATTATTTTTGTAATCAACAGAAAAAGAATTCACAAATTAACCTTTCACTAAACGATTATCCTCCACACTCTCCAAACCTTCCAAAAGCCATGTTGATTTAAAACTCTACATTTCTTTCAAATTAAAACAGAGAATGGCCAATTCTAGTGAAATGTTAAAGCTGAAGTAAATAAGGGTAGCTAAAACCACGTCATGATCAATAAGCACATAAAAGGAAATTTGTGCCGCTTCTTAGAAGCAGAGACATTACTAGGAAGACCCTAACATTTATAACACAGGTTACAAAACAGCCAAAGCTCTTATTCATGATTCAGCATTCTGGCAAAAAACAAGATTATTTCCTCACGACAAAGATATTTTTTCAAAAGTAGATTTTCACAAAGAGTTTTCACATGTATTAGCTTATTGACCCTCATAACAGCACTGAGGCAGGATGAACAATTATTTTCGTGTTCACATCCGGAAACCTAAGCTACAAGGTTTAGGGTCTTGCCCCAAATCAAAAAGCCACCAATTCTGTCTTCAAATTATCCTCTTTTTTCGCTCTTTCCAGGTCATCTCGGCTGCACAGGCCGCACCTCCTTCCCCAGGCCCCGCCCGGGAACGACAAGCAGCATGGATGCAGGGGGCCCGTCCCGGGAAGACGGCCAAAAGGGAAGTCAGATGCCCTCTGACCCCTCATTGACCCTGCCTAAAGGGATGTTCCTGGGAGCCCAGTACCCGCGGAGGAGGCCCGCCCGGGCGGTTCGGGTGGGTTTCCCGGATGTGCCCTGCTTCCTAGTCCCCCGCACCTGTCACCATCTAGAACCCAGGTCTCCTCCTCCGCCGCCGGGACAGAACAGCTCGGCTCCGCCCCCAACGGGAGGAAGGAGGCCTTTGCTTCAGCCGCCGGGACTCACCTGCCGGGTCATGAGAGACTTAATTTTCTGCATGCCGAAATCGCGAGGGGTACCCGGCCGCAAGGAGCCAGCAAGTCACACCGAGCCGCCGGACGGCGGGCCCGGACACAAGGACGCCATAGTGGGCGGTCACGTGGCGCCCCGACCCGAGTCCTCCTCCTTTCCTGGGGTGTGCTGGGAACTGTAGTCCTCAGACTATCGCCGGCAGCTGGCGCGAAGCGACGAGGCCGCGCGGGAACTACATTTTCCAGGAAGCAGCGCAGCGGGCGCTCCGTGAAGCCAGCCAATCCCACTGCTCGGCGTGAGCGCCTCGTGCGCCGGTATTCACTGAAGCGCTGCCGTCAGGTAGCCGGGTTTCGGCGACACAAATCTGGAATTTGAAAGCTCGGCCGCAGGTGACCGGGCGAGGAGCGGAGACGCAGCGCGGTCTGGGCGGTGTCTGCCCACAGCCCGAGGCCCCGGGAGCCGAGGAGGCAAGCCCCGAGGGCCTGGGGGACGTGCGGGAGGCGCGGCTCTCCTCCCTCGCTCCGGACCTCCAGGCAGAAGCCCCGAAACCTCCGGGTTTGACCCGCCTGCCCTTGCCCCGAAGGCGCGTCCCGAGACAACGGCGAGGACCCTGTCCCTTGACTGCTTTTGAGACCTTAGCGTTTAGGCAACTTGGGGACTGCGAGTCATGGGCTTCATTTAATAGGACCTTCCAGTTGTGGAAATGCCGGGAGAAACTGCCCTGCGCTGCCTGGAACCGCCAGCGTGCGTTGGACGCTTGGAACCCGGGTTGTCACCGTCATCCGCGTCTTGAGATGACGGGACGGCGATGGGGCCGTGTGGCGCTTGCCTGGTGTCCTGGAGATGGCGGTGTCCAGACGTGGGGTGGGAGAGTGTCACGAGTGCCCAGCGTTTGTGCTCACATTTATTCTAGTGTTTATTTTCTAAAATAGGACACAGACCCGTGATTTGTAAGATACCTCCCAGGAGAACTTAAAAAATGTTGAAGTGCGCCACCCTAATGAAAAATATTAGGGAAATAGTGTTATGAGTGGTATTCAGATACAGAAAGAATAGTGAAGGTGGTTTGCAAGTGGCTGAAGCACGGGGAACGCTGATAGAAATGTCATTTCCAATTCTGAAATTCTGTATGTTGACCCCTCAGAGCCTTATTAATTCCTACCAATGAGACAGTCGTGCTTGAAAGGGGATAAATAAGGATAAATGAGTGAAACGCGTGAGTTGCCAAGCACTGCATTGTGAGAGGCTGTTAGTCCAGCTCTCTGCCCTACAATCACCTTGTGCCCACCTCTGCCCTGCTTAGCGATCCTTCCGAAACCATGTGTTTATATGCTTCTCAGACTCTGCTATTTCCAATCTCAAGGAAATTCCAGTCCCCTTAGGGCAATTCTAATTTGGTTCATTCTTTACCTGCCTTTATTTAAATTGTCAGACGGTTCTTAGGGTGTGAAAATCTCCCATACTTAGTAAAAGTCCCTGGAAGCCTCAAAAGAAACTGCTAAGCACCTAGCTCCTGGGACGGGTGCATGATGTGTGAGGTCCTCAGGACTTCACGGTTTAGTTGAGAAGCATGCCTTGGGGGGATCCAAAAAGCACTTCTCAAACCTGACCAGATTCTCCTGAGGCGTGTGCTACAGCTGCTGCTGTCTTCTTTGGGGTTGCTTGTTGGTCAATATCTCCAGTGATTCTTACAGGAATCCCAGTGCTGGTGTATCAAATCCGTTCTGTAAAGATGAGAACACGAATCCAAATAAGGTTTCAAGACCACACCTTTTATGAGAGCTTGGTCTAGGACTGGAACCTAGATTCAAACTCAGAATTTTTCTCTCTCACACACTCACATGCACAAAGTTAAGGGTGACCTTACAAAAAAGTTTTTTTTTAAATCCAATGTAGGCCACTACTTTGTTAAACTCTGATGTGTCCCTGTGGCTCTTTGAGCTATGGCCACCGTATTTCCTAGCTTTGGTCTCCTCCCCTATCTTGGGGAGGTGAATCTTCTCTCTCTCTCTCTCTCTCTCTTTCATTTATTTTCTAAATAAACTATATTTCCCAATCTAAAAAAAAAAAAAAAATCCAATGTATTTGTTTTTTTTCTGTTAACCAAATTCAGGAAAAATGAGTGTTTTCCATATGTTATTTGACACTAAAAAGCAAGAAATAAAACTTTGTTGTACTCCAATACTCTACATTTTAGTTTTGGGTTTGTTTTTTTTTATATATTGGAGAAATAGACAACTCAGGCTTCTAAAAATGCAAAGGCTGTAACTATAACGCTGAAATCATGTAAATCAAAGCTGGTGTCTAAATAAACTATATTTTCTACTCCAACATACCCTAACACTATATAAAATTTAGCTACCCAAACTCAAAAAAAACAAACTAAGACTTAGAGCCCTAAAAAAAAAAAAAATTGTTAAAAGGTAGAATGTGAGCCAGGTTCGGTGGTTCAGCCTGTAATCCCGTGCCTTTGGGAGGCTGAGGTGAGTGGATTGCCTGGGCCCGTGGGTTCGAGAC